ACAGAACCAGCTGGTTCTGATGAGGTTCTGGAGGAGAATTTCTCAGATTTGGTTGGTTGTATAAGGATTGAGTCGTGGGTGTGAGTGAATTCATTCCACGTTTTCTGTCCTCTGATGTTTCTTCAGGTACAAGCAGAAGCCGATAAGCCTCAAACCAAGTCGGGCCAGAACGGAGAAACACCGGAGAGCTCGTCGCCTTCGGCCTTCCAGGCCATCGCCAACGCCTTCAGGAGGACGTTCAGCGTGACGCAGCACGGCTCCACCGCTGCAGCCGCCATGTTCGTACTTCATTTGTATATAACTTTATGTAAACGCTGCGTTGGAGCCTCTGGCGGTGTCGTCATGTCGGTCCGGTTTGTGTGTCCCTCAACCAGGAGACCCAAACGCGACGGAGCCAGGAAGCCGAGGCCGATGTCCGAGGGAGCGTTCAGCTTCAGCTCGCTGTTCGGCGCCGCGACTCCGGACTCGTCCACGGAGCAGAAGAGGGCCGGCTGGGCGGCGGACCCGTGGGGTTCCGGTCGGGACCTGCCCTCGCTGCTGCAGCAGGTTTCCCTGAAGGGCCGCAGGGACTCCGGAGGGGTTTTCTCCGACGACATGGGCTCGCTCCCTCGCCGCAGAGTCGACCTGTTCTCGTCGCTGAGGCTGAGGAAGAGGGAGGTTTCTGAGAGCGAAGGGAAGGACCACGAGGTCCAGAGGGAGATCAGGACCATCCTGTCCAAACTCAGAAACAAAGGTCCGATCCACCTGTTGCTGATTCCTTTATTTCACTAATATTTAATGTGTGAACCGGTTATAAGGGTCCACGCAGAGCGACTCAGGTTCGTTAGAAAAGTCATTAATCAGCAGGAAGTCCGATCAGAAGCTGTAGAACCAGTAAAAGCACAAGAACGCCTCGAAATGAGATCAAATTCCTTGAAATCAGTACAAACCTCCAAAAAAATCCCCAGATTTTGCTTTTTAAAAGCATCAGCGGGATGCTTTCTGATTATTTTTATCTTACTTTGAGCTAATTTGTTGTGTTTTTTTTAAGCTAACTGATCTTTTTCTTTACATGTCAGATGCTAAACTTCTTTCAAGCTGTGTGTTTGGACACTTTGGGGCATCGCAGCGACACAATATTGTTGCTCTTATATTTGATTTTAACTTCAAAACGTCAAAGAATGCAATAATGATTCCTCTACGGTGTCGAATCCAACAGATCAAATATAAAAAACTGTAAATATGACAGTAAAATAAGATTAAATCGATTAAAATATTATAAAATCAGCTGCAATGCTGACTTCAACACCTGCTGTCTTTTAAAATAAATCACCCTCAGACGGACCAACGCCTGTGTTTGAGTGAAATCAGAGCATGTTCATGTTATTTCTGATCCCTGAAGCCCAGCGCTGGGTTCTCTTTATAAACATAAAAATAAACATTTATCAGAACTGGAAACTGTAAAATCAGAAAAAAAAACTTCAGACTTTTACCTGAAGATCGGCTCGGCTGCGACCAACCGTCCCGTGATAGACGTTCAGAGCTCATTGGGCTGAACTTTCGGGTCGTGTTCACACAGCAGACGGTTCAGAGTTCAACATTTACACAGTCAGACTTCTACAGTATGTACAGCCGGTTTGTCTACAGTCTGGGCAGCAGCTGTGGCACGTTCGATCAATTTCTGTCAGTAGTTTTTCAGTAGATGTTTTCTTTGTTTTTTCTCCCCTGAAAGAGGTTCTACCGGTTCTGGTCTTCACGTGGCCTAAAACAGCCAAACTCCTGCTGCAGAACCGGACCTGTGGAGTCTATTCTTCCTGTCCTGCGTCCATCTTTTATTACATCACTGATTTCAGCTGCTATTTATACTCTGGATGTCCCCGTTTAGTGTGTTCTGTGTGCTGACATCATGCGTCCTGCATTTTATCTTTGGTCCCGTTCTGCTGAAGAACACAAACAGTCAGACGGATGAATCAGATTTATGACTAAGACCTCCGGAGAACCATGAGTCACTTCCCTGCTCCAGCGGACCAACTGGACTCCACCGCGTCATACGTGTGTCCTTGTAGAGCTTTAGTTCTGCCGTGACGGACCCACATTCTGCTATAAAAAGCATCCTGATGTGCCCCCTCGGAGGGCCCCAACCCCCAGATTGAGAACCACTCGCTGGTGTTGGTGGTCCAACTGAGAACGTTTTGTTTTTCAGTTCTTTTGTAAAGGGACTTTTGCTTTGTAATTTCAAAACATATATATATATATGTATATATATNGAGCTGAAACAGGACGAATATGTTGCTAACATGCTAAAGTGACCTGATGAACAGTTTAGCTAATGTTGGTCTAAAAACAGCCTCGTGGCGTCACAGACAGCAGATTCTTTCTCTTGTTTTTGTCCATTCGATGAATTTTTTTTTTTTCTCAGGACACTTGAGAGAAACAAACTTGACTTTTATTTACCAGCTCGTTTGGTCACATGACGAACAGTAAAGCGTCGTTTCCTGTTTCCTCTGCAGATCGCAGCAAACACAGTAATCGATGGAAACGGAAGATCAGAGCGAGTGAGTGGCTTTTTAATTCTGTCTCTTTATGGTGCTGAACCTGTGTTTGATTCCAGTAAATGTTCCGGCGATCAGTCAGACGGGCCGAACCAGAACCTCTACTGCAGTACTTTCATGCTAAGGTTTATTTGCTTTCACTTCAGTAGAATGCCTCTTGCAGGACTTTTACTTGTATTGGAGTTTTGTTTTTTTTTACGTTTCACTGTGAATGCTGCTTCCAATCCTAATAAAAGCTTTCAGTTGTAACTCTGTTGTCGTGCCACATGTTGAACACTGGAGGTCAGTGTTGCTCAACTTTCTTGTTGACGCTGGTTTCTGTCTCGTCTGACAGTCGTGGCCCAGAAGAAGCTTTGTTTTCCTCATTAGTTTTGCGTTGAGCCTCCCTCTCCGTTCGCTCCGGTAGATAAACGCTCCCAGTGCTTTCAGGTAAAGTGTCTCCTGCTGTGTCTGTGTCGGCAGCCTTCCCTCTGATGCTCATCAAGCACTTCCAGAGAAGCTCGGCGCTGGACGAGGAAGGGCCGGAGACTGTTCCTGAAGCCGACTCGGACTTCGAGGACGTCGCTTCGACAGACAGACTAACCGTACGTGACCTGTAGTTTATCCAACACCGATTCAGTGCAGTGGTGGTTCAGTAGTTTGTTGACTCCTCTGGTTCTGTTTCATCAGAGCCGCGACGGAACGACGTCGGCAGAAACCCAGAAGCCTTCGGAGGGAAGTGAGAAGAACGGAGATCGTTCGGCTGCAGTCACTGAAGTCTGCGGCTCGTCCACCCTGAAGAAACGCCTGGTGTTATCGACTTCTGACAAAGAGAAGCTGCTGAACTGGGAAGTGCTGCAGAAACCAGACGAACCTCCCAGTAACACCAACACACAGCAGCAGGTGGAGACTGGGTTCAGTGTTTGTCCAAAGAAGAATCAATCTGACCTCCTCAGAACCCGCTGGTTCTGTATCTGCAGAACCTTCATCTACTGACCAGAGTTCTACCTTCAGACTGTGAATGTTCCAGAGGTCCAGGTCCTTCAAGTCCACAGAGGAGGCTCCAGGTTTATCACCTTAATGGACTTTTTCCATCATTTCTGAGCCTCAGAACTTCATCAGTACAGCAGATAGACACATGACATTTAGGAGGAAGAACACATCTGGGTTCTGGTAGAACCTGACACCAGATCAGTTCTACATCCATCCAGGAGTCTCAGTCTGACCACTAAATTAGTTGTTTGTTGAGGACCTTTTTCTTTTTTTCTATAATTTTCGAAAAGTTTCAGATAATCTGAATAAAATTTGTAGTAATTTTGGAAACATTTCTGAGTGACTTCAGACTCTTTAAAGTCTTTTTGGACACATTTCGGGTCATTAAGGAAAACTTATATCATTACAAACAATTCTTTAATCATTTTAGACATTTCAAGTTATTTCTGAGTAATTCTGAACAACTTCTGTGATACTTTGAACAAATTCTGGTTATTTTTGGACTATTTTAGGTCAGTTTTAACCATCGTTGCTCTTCACACCGTGACTCCTGGATGGATGTAGAACTGATCTGGTGTCAGGTTCTAGCAGAACCCAGATGTGTTCTTCCTCCTAAATGTCATGT